GTGTCTTGCAGGGTTTCCCCAATATTCTCTAATAATTTGACAGCATAGGGTTATAGATTTAGATATTTAATCCATGTTGAGTGGATTTTGGTGTAAGATGTAAGGTACTGGTCTTGCTTCATACTTTTGCATGTGGAAATCCAGTTTTTCCAGCACCATCTGTTGAAGAGACTGTCGTTACTCCAGGGATTGGTTTTAGCTCATTGGTCAAATATAAGTTAGTTGTAGATGCTTGGACTGATTTCTGGCATTTCTATTCTGTTCAATTGGTCCATCTATCTGTTTTTATACTAATACCAGACTGTTCTAATTACCACTGCTTTGTAGTGTCTTGAAATCTGGTATCGTGACACCTCTGGCTTTGTTTTTGTTTTAAAAGATTGCTTTATCTATTCAAGGTCTCGTGTGTTTCCATATGAATTTCAGCATCATTTTTTTCTAGATCTAAGAAAAATATGTTTGGTGTCTAGATTGGTATTATATTGAATCTGTAAATTGCTTTCAGAAGAATGGACATGTGGGTAATATGGACTCTTCCAATCCATGAACATGGAAGGTTTTTCCAATTTATTGTATCTTCTTCTATTTCTTTCTTGAATGTTTTGTAATTCTCATCGTAGAGATCTTTGACATCTTGGTTAAATTTATTCCAAGGTATTTGATTTTTTTTGTAGCTATTGTGAATGGGGTTGATCTTAGAAGTTTATTCTCAGCCTTGACATTGCTTTCTGGTTTTATGTATTGATTTTATATCCTGCTACTTTTCCAAACTCCTGGGTTTTCTTTCTTGGGAAGATCTTTACTACTGATTCAATTTTCATCTTGTTTATGGGTCTTTTTAGGTTTTCTGTGTCTTCATGGATAAATTTAGGTAGGTTGTATGTGTCCAGGAATCTATCAATTTCTTCTAGTTATCCCACTCTGATGGAAAACAGCTCTTTGTAGTAATTTCTGATGATTATTTTTATTTCTGTGGTGTCTGTTGTTACATTTCATTTTTCATCTGTAATTTTACTGATTTTGGTATTCTCTCTCCTTTTTTGGTTAGTTAGGCCAATGGTGTGTCAATTTTGTTGAGTTTTCCAAAAAATCAGCTCTTTGTTTTGCTAATCTTTTATAATTTTTAGATACAATTTTGTTGATTTTTTTTCTCTAATTTTAGTTATTCATTTTCTCCTACTAGTTTGGGTTTGGTTTGCTGTTGTTTTTCTAAATCCTTGAGATGCATTGATAGCTCATTTATTTGGTACCTTTCCAATTTCTGATGTAGGCAGCAATTGCTGTAAATTTTCCTCTTAACACTGCTTTTGCTATATCCCACAAGTTTTGATATGTTGTGTTGTCATCTTCATTTGTTTCTAGAAATGTTCTTGATTTCTCTTTTGATTTTTGATTTTTTCTATAACCCACTGTTCATTCAAGAGCATGTTGTTCAGTCTCCATGTGTTTGCATATGTTCTAGAGATTCCTAAGTTGCTGATTTCCTGTTTCATTGCATTGTGGTCTGAGAAGATGCATTTCTATTTTTTTATTTTGCTGAGATTTGCTTTATGGCCTAGTATGTAGTCAATCCTAGAGAAAGTTCCATACACTGGTGAAAAAAATGTGTATTCTGCAACTGTAGGATGAAAAGTTCTATAGATAACCATTAGGTCCATTTGGTCTGTAGTGTTAATTAACTCTGCTATTTCTTTGCTGATTTTCTGTTTAGTTGATCTGTCCATTGCTGAAAGTGGGGTATTGAAGTCCCCCATTACTATTGTATTGGAGTCTGTGTCTCCCTTTAGATCCCTTAACATTTCTTTTAATTAGCCAGTTGCCCTGTAATTAGGGACATATTCATTTATAATAGTTACATCTTCCTATTGAATTGATCCCTCAATCACTACATAATATCCTTCTTTCTCTCTTTTAACAGTTTTTGTGTTAAAGTCTATTTTGTCTGATATTAGGATGGCTATACCATCTCTTTTTTGGTTTCTGTTGGCATGGAACATCTTTTTCCTTCCTTCCATTTTCAGTCTGTGTGCATCTTTGTTTGTGAGATGTGTTTCTTGTAGGCTGCAAATAAATGGGTTTTGTTTTTTAATCCATTCAGCAAATCTGTGTTTTTTAAATGGAGAGTTGAGGCCATTTACATTCAAGGTGACTATTGATAAGTAACAACTTTGTCCTGCCATTTTCCCAAAAATATTCCTATTTTTTTCTTTGAATTTTCTTTGAACTTTTACTGTGAGATTTTCTTCCTTTACCTTCTTTTGTAGTGATGACCATGTTTCTGTGTTTCTGTGTATAGCACATCCTTAAGCATCTTTTGTGGGGCTGGATGGGTGGTGACATATTCTTTCAATTTCTGTTTGATATGAAGGTCTTTATTTCACATTCCTTCATAAATGAAAGCTTTGCAGGATATAATATTCTGGGATGACAGGTTTTTTTTCTGAACACTTGGAATATATCTCACCATTCTCTCCTAGCCTGTAGGGTTTCTGATGAGAAGTCTGTTGTGAGTCTAATTGAAGATCCTTTCAAAGTAATATGGCATTTTTCTCTTGCACACTTTAGAATCTTTTCTTTGTTTTACTGTGGTTAGTTTAATTACAATGTGTCATGGTAAAGATATTTTCTGGTCACATCTATTAGGAGTTCTATGTGCTTCTTAGATGTCCCTTTATTTCTCCAAATTAGGGAAGTTTTCTGTTATTATTTCACTAAAAAGTCCTTCTAATCCTTTTTCTCTTTCCATGACTTCAGGAACTCCTAGAACCCATAGATTCTCAACAGTGTTTTTTAGTTTTCTGATTTTCTCCACTTATTTTTTATTTGATTGTATAATTTCCTATGCTTTGTCTTTTAAGTCAGATATTCTTTCTTCTACTTCACTTATTCTGTTTTTTGGGCTTTCCGCTGTATTTTTGATTTGTTCAATTGAATTTTTCATTTCACTTTAATTTCTCTTTAAGATCTCAATTTTGTGGGAGAAATTTTTTCATGTCTTGTATGGGTTTCAAAATTTTCTATATTTGCTTCTAATTACTTCTTTGTAATCTTATGATCAATTTTTTGAATTCCATTTCTGGCATTTCTTTAATCTCATCATCTGCACAATCTAGTATTAAAGTCTTATGTTCTTTTGGGGGCATCATGTTGTCTCCCTTATTGTTGTTTCTTGAATTGGTGCATTTGTTATTCAACATTTATGGAGATACTCCTTGGTTTCTTCGTTTTTTTTTTTTTTTTCACTGTGGTGGCTTTTATCTTTGTACTATGCCTCTCTGTCAATAAGTGGACTGTCTGCTTTCAGTGAATATCTAGAGGGGTATGGTGGGTGTGGCCAGGGAGCCAGGGTGAAGGGCATGTCTGCAGTGACATACCCAGTTTTGGTGAGGTAAATCTTCTCTTTTTTTTTTTTCTTAATCAGAAGGGAAGTTTATTCTGCTCAGCTGAGCTCCTCTCCTCAAAGGCTATCAGTACCTGAGCACTAGCTCCAGTGGATATGATATTCATCCACACTGTCCCAAGGATCACACAAAGGATCTGTTCAGCCCTGAGTGTAAGCTCAGATTCCTCAGCAGTGTCCCTCACCAGGAAGCCCTGAGTCTGTGGAGACTCCCACAGTGACTTCCTAAAGTCCTAGCCACACTGTGAATCCTCCCACACAGCCTCAGTTTTTTTCATAGTCCCAGCACACAAGCCTCCTACAGTCATGAGCACTCAGCCCCTTTTAGTTTTCCCCACCAGAATCAGGGGTCTCCACTCGACTGGTTGCCAGGAATGCACATGACCTGGCGCTTCTGTTACAGATGTCCAAAATGTCTCCTGCTCTATCAGCATGTTACAGGATGCTGTTTTAAGGTGATCAGGGAGAGAGAAACGTGTCCCTACTTTTTTTTTTTTCTTTTTTGCTCCTCTTGGCAGGTACACTATCCCCAGTGGGGCTCCATACCAGGTTCTCTGTAGGCTCTTCCTGCGGCTTTATCACCAGTGGCTTGGGCTGCTATAGTCTGGTCTCAATTCACTTTCCAATACTGGTGCATAGGCTCTCAGCTACTGTGGTCCTGAGTTCTGGGTATACACACCCTCCACATAGGTCCACTGTGTCCCTTTAATTTGCATAGAGTTTCCTTTGCTGTTTTCTCCCTGACTCTTCCTTGAGACTACACTGTCTCCACTTTTTTAAAAGTATATTCTCCTAGACTAGAGCAGTAAGCTGCCTCCCTACTCTGCCATCTTGGAAGCTCTCCAGTAATGCAGTTAAATACCATATTTACTCATATGCATGTAAGTAAACAAGTAAGCTATTAAATATATGATAAATTGCCCCCATATTAGTTATTTAATTACTTAGCTCCACTCAATCCTTTGTGTGCAAACTGTGGCTTCAATGTTTTCATGTCTGTTACCATCTTATAGTCTGTATTTTAGTATAAATGATGGTGGCTGCTGAATTTGCCACACTGCATATGTAGCCCCAAAGGTATTTCTTGTGCCTTATCCTCTACAGGTAACCCAATTTTGATACCAGGATTGATGACATAGACCAGATTGTCAGAATTCACAAATCAAACTTTTGTTGGTCCACACCATCATGATGATTTTTCTGTAGCTACTGATAAGTTTACCTGTTGTATTTCATTACCCACTTAACCCTGAGATCATAATAAGAAGAGTCACAACAATAATTTCAATACTGTGAATGGTGATCTACATACAGAAGAGGAACATGCTATAACATGTGCATTTTAATATCAGTAATGTTTATTAAGTACCTTAAGTAGATCAATAATAACAAGATGAAAAAAATTCACTCTGCCAAAACATCTTTTGTAGGATATATGCTTCAATCTTCCAGGTTAATGTTATCAGCATCTTGTGAGGCATTTATAGTTCTCAAACACTGCTTTATGAACCCCTTGTTGATTCATTAGTGATACCTCTTGGACTTAAGACATGGTTCACCATTTTTCAGTTAAAAAGTAGAAATATCTTGGTTTTTGCAGGTTTCTTTCAAGCAATTGGCTTATGGAACTCTGAGAGATGCTACTGACTATGACATGTTGGAATTATCATGATCAGCTATCCAGTTTGGATTTCACCCAGTGGCCAAGAGCTTTGCATAGTAGGCGGCAAGGATTGGATTTTTGAAAAGAGTAAACCAGGTAAGGTTTGAGGAATACATTTGATCATTTATCACTTTCTCTAAAGGCTTTAGTGTGCTGTCAACATGTATTGAACAATGTATAGCTTTTCTGTTTATTTTCTAAATCCATTGAATAGGTTGTTGAAGAATTGGGGTCTCATGGATTCAGGAGAATATATATATAGTAGCAACTGAATTCCTTTTCTTTCAAGAGGAGAGAGAAGCTATTGTAAGATACACTTAAAGCAGGCACAAGAATACTGTGGATACTAGTTTAGTACAATAGCCAAAAATTATAAACTATTGCTGATTTTCTTTTTAAGTAACTAATGGTTAATGCTAATGAAATAAACAATTGCAGCTTTTGAGGGTACAGTGGGAAAAGTGTTGTCTTTAAGTATTTATATATTATAAAAGGTAAAAACAGGAATATTAGTTGCTGGCATATTAATTTTTATATATACATATTTGCTTCAATATTATTCCAATTTAAATATTATACAATTATGTTGCCTTTTACTTATTTGAACATATTTATTCTAAATGGTATTTGTATATTTTTAAGATGATGATACCATGGCATATTATATTAATACTGTGGCTCCAAGAACTTAAAGTATTATAATCTTATTGAAGTATTTTTAATTGATTTTTCTATTTTATTCTGGAAATTCCTGTCAACTATTATCAATAATTTTGTCAGAATTTTTTCCTCTTTAATTATCTTCTATCCTACATTATTATTTAAAAACTTTACTAACAATTACTTGAGGAAACCACAAGTTATTCTTACCTTCTGAATTTAAGACCATCAAAACATTAACAACTTCTTTAAATTTAATGCATCTCAAAGTAAGATCTTAAGTTGAAATATGAAACAGAGAAAATATAAGTAAAATCTATTAATTTAGGAAACAATGGGGGGAAGGTTATTCTACATCATTACAGTTTGAGCTCTTTATGCTTTTTACAGATATAGCTTCCTTATTTTATGAAGATAAAGTAAAAAGGAACGCGGTCACTAAGATATAATCTAACATGATTGATTGTAAATGAAGACTTCCAAAATTTTGAATGCAACCTATTCTCTAGAATTTAATAAACTTCCTTTCCCACTTTCCCAATTCCATAATGACATATTTGTCTATTAGATGATAGAATGCAAGCATAAAGCCCAGAGTGACAAATTTCAAATCTGTTGAAAATAGCGTAAGTCACCAAATTTAAGGCAGAAATCTTTGTTTCATAAACTAAGCCATTGAAAATTTCTGTCCTGTTTAGTGGCAAGGTGAGTTATCCACATTTAGAAGAATTATGTCAGCCTGCAAAACAAAAAAAAAAAAATAAAAGCAATGTCAGAAAGCGGAATGTGTGGGTGAGAGAAAGTGCAATTCAGTTTTATGCTTCATAGGATTAGGATCTAACACATAATTAAAGCAAAAATATTTCATGATAGATCACCATAGTCTTAAGCTTATAATTCTTTATTTCTGAGTCCAAATAAAGTTCATCCCAGTTATGTTAATTTCAATATTTTCAACAATATTGGGTTGCATGGCAATAATCTTTGAGTTACAAAAGAAGATGAAAAGGGGGAAATAAAATTGTCTCTTTTGAAGGTAATCAAGTGATATGATAGTATAAATAGTAATTATTTTTCTTGGCACAAAAGAAGAGCTCTCCTTCATTTGTGAAATATGTTTCCATTCTTTAGGATACTTTACATTTCTAAACAGTAAAAGCCATCAAAATGGGGAAAGTGTATAACATGTAATTTTGATACAAATATTATAAGGAAACATATATTTGTTCACAGGTCTCTTTGAAGTGAATTTTGTAAATTAGTATGTATAAAGGATATATGCCAGTTCAATATAGAAATATATGATTTAGAAGTATCCTCTAGAAGATAGATCTGACCATCTATTTAACTATTTGAAGATTAATCGAAATTTTATACATTAGAATTTTGTAGTTCATGTTAGTTTTGAAGTCATTTTTTGTTCTCTGTCGTATGAATTGCAGTTGCAGTTTTTATGGTGATGTGTGCTATCTTCTCTGTAGAGTAAAAACAGTGTCAAGGCTTCCCGTTCTGTTTCTCTGAAGTTAACATCAAAACTATAGTGCTTAGAAATAACTTGTCTTGTTTAATGCATCCTTAAGGAAAGACTGCCTCACCCAGAGTCACATTATTATATGCTCTTACATGGAGGCAACACTAAGCCATATAAACAGCATAGACAAGGCGAGGGTCAGGCTGGTTAGTGGTTCCAGAGCACCTCTGAGGATAGCGTGCCATGTGTGATGGGATATGTAGTCTTCAAGGTGGCTCATACAACATCTTAGTAACACTTGTGTGTAAAGTATTTACCTCGCCCTCTGCAGAGGGCAATAAGCACTCTGGATTGTGCGTCTCTTCCTATGCTCCTACCTTCTAAAATAAAATCTTGAAAAGTTAGCAGGACAGCAGATTATATCGTGAAAAGTCTCCCGAATATTCAAATACTTTCTGGCTGCATATTTATTTACCTTTACATTACAAACATTTATTGAATACCTACCACATGTAAAACAGTATGGGGCCAAAAACAAATTATCAGCCCTCACCTGCTCCATCTTCAGTTCACAACCACAAATAACACAAATGAACAAAACACATATGTGAACAGCTCTCTCCAGGCAAAGGGAACTAAATTTTTTAAAAAATTGACCTATTCTTTGAAATTCAAAGTTATATATAGAGAGAGGAAGAAACAGAGAGAAACAGAGCAAGAGAGAGAGAGAGAGGTTGAAAGAGAGAGTCTTCCATCCACTGGTTCACTCCCCAGGTGGCCCCAGTGGCCAGGGCTGAGAAAGGCCAAAGCCAGTAGCTTCTTCTAGGTCTTGTACATGGGTGGCAGGGGCTAAAATGCTTGGGCCATGTTCCACCTGCTGCACCATAATGCCAGCCCCAGAGCTGGAATTCTTAGAGAAATGATCCAAGCTAAGTTCTCCAGAAATTAAGATGAAGAATTGTTAAAACTGATTGGCATGGGACATGATTTTTGAGGTTCAAGAGACATTTCAGCTGTAAGCTAAGAAATGGGGAGGAATTTCTATTAATTAAAAATAGGTATGAAGACATTTGAGGCACAGAACACAATTTCACAAAATCACCATAGTGTGGAAATACATGTGTGTCCAAAGGATGGAAAACTTTACAGTGTGGTATAGAGAGAGATGCAAGTAGCTAGACATAAAGATGGTGGTTAAGCTACAGTGTTTTGCATGTACATCTCTGCTAGAGAAAGTGAAATAATCAAATTTATATTTTTAAAAATGACTCTGGCAGAGGGTGGGGCAGTGTCAAGAAGGCACATGCAAAGAGGGAATAAAAAGAGCATTCAGTTCCATGAAAGCAGAAGTGTCCTGAGATTTCTACCATATGGCATCATCAGTGCCTCGAACATCATGTGTTTTTCTGTGTTAAATGCTGACAAAAAGAATGTCTGTTGGTGCTTTCCAATAAACTTCTACATTTACACTTTCTCCTTTTTCAGAAATGGTTCAAAAACTCTTTATGTAAGGGATGGCACTCATTTCATTTAGATATCTCTCTCTCCCCCTCCCCCTCTCCCTCTCCCTCCCTCTCTCCCTCCCTCTCCCTCCCTCTCCCTCCCTCTCTCCCTCTCTCTCTCCCTCTCTCTCTCTCTCTCTCTCTCACACACACACACACACCCCTCTCCCTCATTATGCACTTGACAATAATACTCTGATCCTGTTCTTGAAATTGATGCTTCAATTAAGATGCACAAAGCTGCTACCCTACTTTATTTCCCTTTGGAGACTTTCATCTCTCAACCTTTCTCCTTCCCTTCATCATTTTATCTTCACATAAATCACTGTTTTTCAGTCCTTGGGATTGCAGCATGCATCACAAGCAAATTTTTTTATGACTAGGAAGCAAACACCCTAATTGGCATGTATTGCTTACTTAAACCTAATTAAATAATTTTGCTGAAAGTATCATGTCCTTTCCATTACAATGCATATTTGGTCAACATAGTAAGAGATGCTTTAAGACTATGGAAGATAATTGGGGAAGGGAACCCAAAGAGGACAGAAAACAGAAAAAAAGTGAGCTCCAGTGCAGCTTTAGAGGCAATTCAGGCCACATTAACACCTCTAGTGGAGGAAATGCCTATCTCTCAGTTAATAACTTTCATTGCAGTTATTTTATTGAAAATCACCATTGCTATAAGGCTCCTGAGTAGCACATCACAGTCAATATATTTTTGTAATTGAGTCATCTATTTTCAATGAAGTTCTTATTCAGTCTGGGAGAAATCTGAATACATTTTTCTAAATACATATACTTAGGAAAACATGAATATTATTCAATAAAATGTAATATTCTGACTTTTAAAGATTTATTTGTTTGAAAGACAGAGTTACAGAGAGAGGTAGAGACAGAGATAGAGACAGAGAGAGAGGTCTTCCATCCGTGGGTTTACTCCCTAAATGGCTGCAATGGCCAGAGATAAGCTGATGCAAAGCCAGGAGCCAGAAGCTTCTTCCAGATCTCCTATATGGATGCTGGGGCCCATGTACATGGACCATCCTCCACTGCTTTCCCAGGCCCTAAGCAGGGAGCTGGGTTGTAAGTGGAGCAGCTGGGACTTTAACTGGTGCCCACATGGGATGCTGGTGCCACAAGCTACGACTTTACATGCTGTGCCACAGTACCAGCCCCAAATGTAATATTCTTGAGACCAGGATCTTTGTCTTTCTCTTTTTAAGCCTTAACTCTAGAGCTTCATAGATACTGATTAAATGTCTTGTGTCTCGCTGACTGAATGAATCTCAAAACCTGTGCTTAAGGAAAAAAATGCAACTTCTGTATTTTTTGGCAGTAAGAAGTATATCTGTTAGTATCATCAGTATTTGATTCATTTTATTGTATGTTTTATCCTCCTGTGATTATCAGTACCACCATTACTTTGTAACAGGTATTTTTAAATCAGAGTGACATATAACAAC